TAAAGCATCCACAAAATTTAAGTGTTTTAAAATAGTAACGATCTGATTTTTCAAATCAAAATCTGATCTTGAAATATATTTTCAAAACTGTTTTTTTTTTTTTTAATTTTAAGTGACATCCTTTAAACTTATTAGCTCTTGTGAATTTAAAAGTGATATATATTTGACTCAAAAAAATTATAAAACATATTAGAAAAAGTAAATTTAGCAGAACTTTCTTAAATTAAATATTTATAAAAAAATTAAACTAACTTCTTCAAATATTGCTAATGTTCTAGAACCGTTTAGACGCGATAGATGTTGAAAAAGCAGTGCAATTTGTATTAAAATGTATGAATTTTGATGGAGGATTTGGTTCGAAACCAGGATCTGAGAGCCATGCAGGTTTAATTTATTGCAGCGTTGGATTACTTTCAATTACAGGTATGTACAAGAATATATACAGAAGATGTATATTGAATATTATTTATAACACATTTATAAAACATTTTTTCTCCAGGGCATTTGCATTTGATAGATGCTGATCGCTTAGGATGGTGGTTATGTGAGAGACAGCTACCTTCGGGTGGTTTAAATGGCAGGCCTGAAAAGTTACCGGATGTATGTTATTCTTGGTGGGTGCTATCGGCGTTAACAATTTTAGGTCGTCTGCATTGGATAGATAAAAAAGGCATGGTAAATAATTGTTTTTATTGAATAATATTTTATGAGATTTTAAATTAAATTTATCAATCTACATTATCTATTAAAAATTTTCTTGTAACTGTTTATAATTTCATTATTATCTCTACATTAGATGATCAATATTTAAAACAAATTTTCATATAATCAAAATCCGATCTTAGATAAACATCATGAGTAATATAATTTTTATTTCTATTTTTCACTTACAGATAGATTATATTTTAATTTGTCAAGATGTCGAAACTGGCGGTTTTAGTGATCGGCCTGGTGATATGGTTGACCCTTTCCATACCTTATTCGGCCTCACCGCATTATCATTATTAGATGAGAACTTTTCGTTGAAACCAATAAATCCTACTTATTGTATGCCAGAATATATAATCGAACGTTTAGGTCTTAAGCCGTCGCGACTCGAACTATGATTATATACTTGACATGTTTCACGATGTACATTATTTCCTATTTGTTAAATATAGGTAGATTTTTAAGAAAATATATTAATTTTTTTTGTTTATTAACCATAATTCTTATACGCAGAGCATTTCTAATTGGATAAAAGTATACTAAAAATATTAAAATTATACTAAAATTAAAAAATTTAATACTTTGTATTAAATATATTAAATTTAATTCTTTATATTTAATATCATAAATATAAAATATTTCTTCCTCTTTTTTTCTTTTTATTTAATTTTTAAATGAGTATAACTCATTTACTCATTCACATCCTCAAATGAGTATAACTTAATTTCAAAAAGCTTTATCTGCTGGGAGTAACAAGTTTGCATTTACAGTTTATTTATCAACGTACATTAAAACAGTGAATTTAAAAATTTAATTAAATTTCCAACAGATGTCACAATTATACATGGCAATATTATTTAGAGATGATGGCGTACTTTTTGTATTTAAAGAGACAGATAATAAAACATTAACTTTGATTTAAATACAAAATTACTTTCCTTTTATTATTCCAGAAATTTCAATGTCGTTTCAATTTCAAAATTTTAGAAAGATTCAAATAATGTTTTAATCACTAATAGATTACCGTTTGTAGATATTATTCATACACGTAGAAGAAAAAATAATAATAACAAAATGAACGAAGCAATTAGAAAATAGTTTACAAAGTCGGTAAATAAAGTGACACTATTCAGACAATACAATGTTTAAAATCAGAACATAAAACATTCTTAAAGAAATCTTAAAAATATTTTATATCTCAATTTTTTAGATATTATGTATATTTGTGAGGTTACCCAATTGAAATTAACCTAAATATCGCTTTATAAATTATTAATATATTAATATATTTAACGGCAATTTAATAATATAATAAATTTTAATTGAAAAATTTTAAATATAACTACTTGTTTGTTTAAAATTAAATCGAACTTTTGTAATTTTTAATAATTTTATTCAAGTCGTGTTTTTCAAATAAGGCAAACTGATTGATATAGTATTCGCAAATATAAATACAGAAAAATACTTATATAATATAAAATATTTATATAAATCATAATCTTAATTATATGTGGAATACAATTATGATTATAAATTTTTTGCTTAAACAAGAATCGATTTTTTTTTAAAGTCGAAAACAAATTGTAATTTATTTCAATTTTCATTTTCTTGCATACATATTTTGATTAAATAAATTATCTAAATTATAATCTATTAAAATAGTTCTTATTTGTGAGAGTCTCATTTCTGTTTATTTTTTAATTAAATCTACAAAAGGAAACTCAATATAATCGTTTGTTTATTTAATTTATTATATTTAAAATGGTTTTATTATTCAAAATATTTATATTTAATATAAGGAATCAACATCGTAAAATCGTTATTTCATGTGACTTATATATACACAATCGCCAAGGATTAAGATTCGACACATGACATTAATATCCGTAATACGTATTAAATGTTAATTGCTTTATATTATCATTTGTAATCATCTATTCGTTTAATGGAAATAATAAAAAATAGTGTCTATACATGTATACATGTCTATAGATGCGAAAAACAATTTGGAGTCTATATGGGAAAAACTATGTGGGGGCTAAATAGGAAAAACTAGATGGGGGCAATATGGGAAAAACTATGTGGGGGCTAGATGGAAAAACTAGATGGGGGTAATATGGAAAAA